CTCTCTCACCTTATACAAACAGATGACTTGAAAGGCCATTTTAATAGGGAAAAATATGGGAAGAAATCAGGTAGATGTTTGAAGCATTTTTTTGTGTGTAAAGCAAGTGTTGGCGAATTTGTCTTTTCTTGGAACTGTGAGAATGAAGGTATTAAATACAAACCCAGTGTCTCCTGTATTATTTTTTTCTGGCACAAGGGAGTATCCATGGTGAGAACTAGCTGTTGCTCACCAATATTATACCCACGTTTGTTTCTTCCAATAGAACCCAGATTTGTTCAGGTGACTGGTAGAGATTCCTTTATTTCAGGGAGGGTGGACATGACCCCAGCCCCAGGGAATGAATCAGGGTAGACATGTGACTCAGTTCTACCCCTGAGACCAGAGGAGAAGTCTGCAGGGAAGGGCTTCCTTTTCTGGAAAAAACGATAACATTTTCCCAGGAGAGAGCCTTCTGTTCCTTCACCCTTTTGCTCCCCGTACCCCTTGCCCACCTCTTCCTTTGATCTGGAACATGAATGTAAGGCCTAGAAATGAAGATGATAAGACAACGTGCCAAGAATGGGGGAGAAGAAAATCAGAAAAAGCTTAAGTCTAGGATAACTTTGTGTTACAATTTCCCCATCCTGAACTACCAAACTCCAGACTTCTTTTAGGAGATAAAGTTATAGATGTTAAATTAATGTTAGATTTTAAGTTAATATGTATCTATTTACAGTTGGATGCACTCATAATTGATACATATACTTTTATTAAGAGAAGTAGTATCATAAAATATGCCTGCCTTTCAGATTTTAATGTTATACACAGAATTTTTAAAAAGGCAATGAATGCTCGTGAATGAGCAAAACTGCCCCATTTGTTAAATTTATCCTCCAGGGACTGTATAGAATAACATACACTTGGTTTTTACAAGATATCACCATTAATAGTGTTGTAGTGTGTTGTGTCAAAGTTTCTGATGTAACTTCAGATTTTAAAAAACCTAGAGTTTCAAGGGCCCCTATAATTTAAATGATGTAGCATCTTTGTTCTTAACTATACACTATATTGCCTCACAAAAGCATAAATTTTGGACATACCTCAGATTTTGTGATGTAATTATATTAAAATGTTGATTATATCACATTGAAGCCTAGCTGATTGCTAAATGTAACAAAGACATTTAAATGCCAGAAGCCTATTTTTATTTTCATTTTAGTAGTAAAATATCTTTACAGAAGGACACAATTTCCCTTAAACCCAACAGTGATAACTCTTTCATTACTCTGGAAAGTCACAATCCAGAAACTGTACATTAACTTTCAACTCATAGAGAGTTTATAACTAGGTTTTTAACTTCTCCCTGTCCTCCCTTGACTCTTTCTGCCCTACCTGGGCACCCTTGCAGAGCTCGTGCTTTCTGATGGGAGGTAATGCCCCTCCCCATCATGGCCCTACAGCCTAATTTTCCTCCTGGGTAATCCCTCACTTTATACTCCTATCCCATCCCATCCCATCCCATCCCATCCCATCCCATCATATGTTTACCTAAAAGTGGAAACTTTAGGAATTTTTCACCTCCTTTCTATACACCCTAAGAAGCCCAGGGTTGGTGGCTTATGCCTGTAATCTTAGAAACTTGGGAAGCCTTGGTGGAGGAATTCAAGGCCAGGCTGGGCTACATAGCAAGACCTTGTCTCTAAAATATAAAACAACATCATCAACAAAAATCCTGATTCAGACCAGGATCTGAGGTTGGAAACAGAGGTTATTTAGGATACTGATCTTAAATTTAGTTGATCTGAAGCTTGTCCTGGGCACTAGGAGTTGTATAAGCTGTCAGTAGCTCCAATGTACAGCTGAAGTTGAGATCTACTGTGTTTAGAGCAGGGTTTCTTGATCTCAGCACTATGGACATGCAACACTGCATAGCTCTTTGTGTGGAAGACTGCCCTGTGCATTGTAGAATGTTTACCAGCACCTCTAGCCTCTACTGACTAGATGGCAGTAGCGCCCTCCCCAGTTGTGATAGCCAAAAGTGTCTCCAGACTTTGCCAGAAACACTGGGGTGGAGGGGGCAAAATCACTTCTGTCTAGAACCATTGGTCCAGATCCATTGCTGGTATCTGGGGCTGTGAGAGAAGTCGCAGAAGGCTGTTACTGCACCCTCCTCTATCAGGAAAATATATATGCTAAAGAGATCTGGCAGAAAACCCTCCTGTCATTGGAGGAAACCTAATCAAGGTGCCTTTTTCTATAAGGTTTTCCCTTTTTTAAGCACAGAGATGGTAGGTTTCTTGGGGAGCGTGGTAGAGGAAGCCACTTTAGAGAACAGGGAGTTAAGGAAACAATACAGGAAGCTTTCGAGCTGATCTGAGGTACAACAGAGGGAAGTTAATCTTTTTAAAATTAGTGTGAACAGTCTGGCCTGGATAAAATATTGTCTCCAGCTAAGGAGTTGCTGTCAGCAGTGGGGAGATAAAGTAGTGCAGGGCTTGGGTGCTAAGTGACGTCAACACAGATTGTAGCATTAGCTCTAGGAAAGCTTTGCCGCCAAGCTGAGAACAGAGTGAGCGAAATGAGTGAGACTTGAGGTACATGTGTAAGAGTAAGGTTTGAATGCATGCACAAAGGGAAGGCTGGGGTTTGTGAATGTGATAGGTTAGTGGTTGTCTTAGGGGTTGAGAAGAGAGCCTGGGAAGCAGCCCCAGAGAGAGGGGAAGTCAGAGGGAAGGGAAGGACCTGAACAATGCGTGCGTTATGATGAAGTTGCTACCATGGGCATATGGAGCTCAGTCCCACTGGGAGCTGCAGAGAGCCAGGGAGCAGCACAAGCCTCAGAGTCAGGAGGCAAGAGAGCCGCCATGTTTATCCATTCATTCCCTTTGTCATGGGCTGAGGGCTACATCCAAGGCCATTCATTCCTCAGCACTTTTGCTGAGTTCTGGTTTGGTCTCAATAAAGAGTTGCCAGTGTTGGCAACTGAAAGGTGTCACTTGGCACTGGATGGTTCTTGTTGATGATATGGATGGCTACCGGGAGCTTCTGCTACTGTGGTCAATTTTACAACTTATATAAAAATAGTAACTGCTTTGCTAACTAATGCTTATTTTTTAATAGACTTTTTAATATTAGGGAATATTGGGAAGGCATATTAACTGCTGTCACCCTCAAAGATACCATTACCTTATTTTTTTGAGACCATGAAATACCACTGCCAGAAACCCAACAGTCATCCCAGGCCTGTCCTGAACTCTTCTTTCTCTCACCCCTTACATCCAATCCACCAACAAGTCCTTTCAGGTGTACTCCAAAACATTCTGAAATTTATCCACTTCTGCTTCTGCTGCTACCTCATCAGTTCAGGACAATGTGGTTTCCTGCTTAGACTACTGCAATATCCTCCTCCTGGGCTCACCACATCCAGTCTCTCAGTTTCTTGAACCCATGAGACTTTTTCTCAGAATGCTCCTCCTCCTCATCCCACCCCGCCCCACCCCTACTCTTCCAATGACTTGCTCCTTCCTATTCTTTTTTTTTTGCACATCTGAGAATATCTTTATTTTACTTTAATTAGATGAAGAGTTTACATGGTTGTAGTATTCTAGGTTACAAATAATTCTCCCTCCTTCCTATCCTTTAGGTCTGACTAAATGCCACTTCATTGAAGGCCTTCCATACCAATCCCTGTTTATATTACTCTCAGCATGTTTCTCAGTTTGTAGTCAATTTGTTTGTTTCATCGTCTCCCTCTCCAGAAAGTAACCTCTGTAATATCCAATATTTTTACGCTGTAAGGGTAAGACCATGTATATCTTCTTGACTGCTATATCCTTAGTAGGGTTGCCAGATTTAGCAAATAAAAATATTGGATATCCAGTTTCAGATAAACCATGAATAATTGTTTAGTATAGGTATGTCCAAGTATTGCACAGGGCATACTTATACTAAAAATTATTCATGGTTTATGTGAAGTTCAAATTTAACTTGGCATCTTGTGTTTTATCTGGCAATCCTAGTCCTTAGGCCCTGATACATAGCTGACTCTCATTAAATATTGTTGAATGAAAACTTAGTAGTAGAGTTTCGAAATTGCTATAATGACAACAAAGTGGGAGAAATGCATTAAAAGTACAGAATTGAAATAGTGACAAACGTCATTTCTTACCATATTTCTGTTCTACCTTGTCTGTCTTCTCATACCAGGAGAATGTAATCAACTCACCCAAAGTGTCAGGCAGCCCAGTGCTCTGGGAGGGATGCTGACCATAGGAAGGGAACTGTTATGTGCAGCAGTTCACACAGTTCTGCCTCATTGTTGTCATGTCCCCATGTTTGGGGCTTAATCTTCTTCAGCCTTGATCTCTCCAGACTGTGAGCTCCTTAAGGGAAGAGATTGCTTCTTCATTTTCAACCATTCATCCCCCAGCATGCTGCCTTTACCCAGTAGTAAGGACTCAATCTGTGGTTTCCAAATGGATTGATAAATGAGGTGGAGTAGGGTGACTAACTGTCTCTGTTTGACAAGGACTAGAGGTTTTTCTGGGATGTGGGGTTTTGAGTGCAAACATTAAGACAGTCCTGGGCTAACTGGGATAGTTGGTCACCCTAAGTGAATGGATGATTCTCACTTCTTGGTGGCTGAATTTCTTGTCCAATAACATTATATTGGCTGCTATGTGACAATCAACATTAGACAACCAATTGGCCTAGCTCCTCAACTATTTGAGGTTTAAAGCTGGATGTTTGGAGCGCTGCTGATTCAGAATGTCTCCATACCTAGATTGACTCCGATAAGCTTGTTCATGGCTGCAGCCTCAGCTGATGATCCTAATCTTTTCTGATGGCCTAGTCTTGTAGTCTTTGGAAAATGCCTGAACTTGTACTCCTAGAATGAAGATCCTCAGGTCAAGCCACGGGAAGGGGCCCTGTCCTTGATCCACCTCATGGGCCTGCTTGGCCTGCCAGTCCTAGCCACCACAGACCTATTTCATCAAGACCCAATTACAGTCAGTTGCTGTAACTACAGAACACCAGTAAGCATTTATTGAGTAATTAAGTTGACAGTCATAGAACTTTTCAAAGGCATTTCTACAAATGTTCTGAGTTACTTGGCTTTGAAAAGTGAATTATTATTTTAACCAAGCCCCTCCCCCAGTACCAGAGGGCATAAGATTCTCAAGAAAACTGTGCAAACCCACTCTCCAATATGGCAGCAATGTTCGGGTAGAACTTAGGTCCTACTGGGTTCCTGGAATTAGGGGGGTGAAGTGGCTCTTGAGAGGCTCCCAGCACTTGTAGTAATTCTCATCCAGACACCCGGAGGTCTTGTATCCCCACTTGGTGACAGCCAGGCTTAGAGAAGACTCAAACATAAATGCCTGGAGGGAATGAAGGTGGGGAAGAGAAAGAAGAGGTAAGGGAGAGAACAAACACAGTTGATTAGATAGCAAGAGGAGATAGGGGTAGGCAAAATCTTCGAATGACAAATCGTATGTGCTAGCATGATGAGGAGAGCAGGCTCCAGTGTGGGTTCTGACTCTGGTCCTGCCACTTTTAAGTTGGTGAGAACTGGAACAAGATCCTTAACTTCTCAGGGCCTCAAGTTTCATTTTGCAAAATAGAATTGGGCACTTAAGCCTCCCATTGTCCTCACAGTAATATGGACCTAAGTTTGTGAGTCCAAGGGCAGAGTTGAGAGAATTCTGGAAATACCCATCTTCTCAGGGGCCACCATTTACTGTGGCTATGTCCTTGAGAGCAAGGGCATACTCCCCATTTTGCAGAGGGGGAAACTAAGGTTTGGAACTGGGAAGTGACTTGCTTAAGATGACAAGTCAGGGCAGAGATGGGAGTTAAACCTAGTTTTTCAGGACTATGATCAAAAGATGGGCTGGTAAAAGGAAAAGGAGGAAAAGGAGGAATGGGGAAGAGGGAGAGAGGAAAGAAACAGCAGGAATGGTTGTAGTTTAAAAAACCATATCTCAGGAGGGTCTCATTGTTGGATGTTGCCCCGTGACCAGTTTTTGTCCACAATAGGAAGAATGTGCAAATACTCTGTGTATCTTAGATGTTCCAGTTCATCAGTTGCTGATTTTCCTATGCACTATGGCTTTTAAAAAACAAGAACACAAAACCAAACTCTAAAATTCTTATATGCTCACATTTGAAAATTTAAAAAATAAAAACAGGCAGATGGAAAATAATAAAATTTTCTTGGTCTAGAACCCAGAGCACCCACCGTAATGTTTGGGGTGTAACATACAGTGATTTGTGTTTTTTATATAAATTCAAGGGGTACAAGTGCAGTTTTGTTACATGGATATATTGCGTATTGGTAAAGTCTGGGCTTTTAGTGTACCCATCACCTGAATAATGCACATCATAGGCCTTACTTTTGCCTAAAACAATGGGGATGAGACTTCCTGCCTGACTTCCCATGAAAAGCTTGTTTTGAGGACAGGATGGATCATATAGAAGCACTCTGCAAATTATAAAGCACTATTCAGTTGAAAGGGTCATTGTTATGGTTATTATTATTGTTGTCTCTTTGCTTTCTGCTTCTTAGATCCTTGCTGTCTGGCTGGAATAACAAAAGCCCCATTCCAGCTGAGCTTTGAAGACAGTATTGTATCAAGTTAATCACTCCAAACTAGAATAAGAATAAGGCATATAGATAGGCCTGGGTCAAAATTATATAATGAGAAATGGTGAGGAAGAGAGAGAAATTAGGAGTTAGGTCTAGCTAAAGTGTTAGGCCCTCTTCTACCAGGTATTCTGGGCTCCCTGATACCCAGGGTCTCCCATCCTCCTAACCCCACTACATAGGAGAGCTCTTCCTCACTAGTACTCCAGGTCCTAGATATCACCTGAAGTCTTGCTCCTCATAAAAACAGTCCTATCCTGTGCCTCATTGTTGTAAAACACAGCTCCCTGGTAACAATGACTACTTAAAGCCAATTTGGGGCACCAAAAGTTATTGAGTAACAACTTTGGGATAGACTCCAAGAATGCACTTCCAGAAGCCTTCAGAGGCAATAGCTTGACTAAGACGGTCAAACTTCATCTCATTGAGATGTAGAGATTCTACAGAAACTCCACAGAGGTCCTTGGGGGAAACAGAGCTGAAGTCAAGCTGTTGGGACCTTGTACACCCACCCACTCCAGAGCAACTCATCAACCCTGGCCCTAAGGTTGGGACTGAAAGCAAACTGCGTTGGACGAATGGACAGATGCTCACTGCTTAGGTAGTCTGCGAGTCTGGAGTCAGGCAGTTCTGTGCTATAGATTTTAAACTTAATAGCATTGAAGTCTCTTGTTTAAAAATATAAAGCAAATTTGCATATGATTTAGCAGAAAATTGCTCCCTGTGTCCCATAAACTCTACCTCCAAGAATGCAAAAATAAAATAAAATCAAGTACCGCAGCCAACTGCAATTGTGTTCAGCCTCAATGTTTACAGCCTGACACAGGGGGAATACAAAACAGGTTTTAAATCCCATCAGTTTCATCCATGCCAAAGTAGAGCAAAGGAAAATGAGAAAACAGCTGAGAATTGCTGCCCAGAAGCCCTGACTGTAGTGAGGCAAAGGCTTCTTAACCCCCCTTGGCTTAGACATTGACTGGAAGTGACATTCTGCCTTCCCTACTGTTGTAGCCCTAGAGAAATGCTTCAAAAAGCAGAAGATTCTGAGACACAGCATATGCATAGGGCTGCATACAGACATGGGGAAGACCCTTCATATAATATTAATAATACTCCCTTACATATGTATAGTGCAAGACAGTCTGTAAGCTTAACTTCCAGCCATCAGCTAGGTTGGATACCATACCCATTCTACAGATGGAGAAAATGAAATACAGAGAAGTTAAGTGGCTTGTTCAAGGCCACACAAGAACTAAGAATTAGAACTTAAACCCAGGTCTGATTCCTAGTCCAAAGCTCTTTCTACACCCCCATACCAGAAGTCTAGTATATACACAAAGGTGTATGTATACACACATGTAAACATACATATATAGACACATAACTCTCCCCTTTTGACTTTCCCTCTGTAACTTTGGAGAAATAAAAAATAGCCACCTCTCTCAACAAGGTTGGGGAACCCAGAAGCTACCAGAGCCTGGCATTTAACTTGCTTACCATGGTGCCATCAGCAATCCTCTCAGGTGCCAGCTTGGCCTTGCTGGCCTTCTCAAAGCAGTCAGCGTCAGGTCCATGGGGGGTCATTGCACTGTGCAGGCTGCCTCCCCCTGGCAGGAACCCACCTTGTTTTGCCTCATAGTGACCTCTGATGAGTCCCATGAACTCACTCATGCAGTTCCCTGGGAAGGTCAAAGAAGTATTTTTATTATCCAAGGCAAGATCAGGAAAGCACTAAGACCCCTCAAATATTATTCCTTCAGAATGCCAAGAAGACGGGAGATCTAATAAATTTGATAGGATTGATAAAGAATATGGATTAACAGAAGAACAGTCACAAAACATTCATCATTGACATTCTTGGCAAGTAAAGCTCTACTCTATGGCCATGTGGATTATCAGAGGTCTTGAGTTCCACTACCTAAAAGAAATTTCAAGAGAAAATCAGGGCCCAGCCAAGATAATAATAATTAAAATGCAAATTATAATAAAGAATGAATGTACTTTATCATGTAAGCTTACAAGCCCCATAACAAAGTTTTATTATCTTTCGGATAGAACCTCTTCTCAAATAGCTCTACTCTAGTCTATGGCATTAACATATTTCTAGTTCCCAGACTAGAAAGTTGAAGTAGGGTGTATGTGTGTATTTTGATGAAAGGTGATGCAATGAAAAGAACCCTGGACTTAAAGTCTGTTACCAGGTCAGGCATGGTGGCTCATGTCTATAATCCCAGCACTTTGGGAATAGGAAGCATGATGATTGCCTGAGCCCAAGAGTTCAAGACCAACCTGGGCAACTTGACAAGACATTGTCTCAATAATAATAACAATAACAACAATAATAATAATAATAAACCAGCCAGGTATAGTGGTATATGCCTGTAGCTCCAGCTTCTTGGAAGACTGAGGCAGAAGGATTGCCTGAACCCAGAAAGTGGAGGGTGCTGTAGCTGTGATCATGCTACTGCACCTCAGCCTGGGTGACAGAGTGAGACGCCTACTCAAAAAATAAAAAAATAAAGTCCATTACCAAATGATAATCTGTGTGAAAGAATCTTGATATCTGTAAAACAGAGACCATAAATACTATTTATTATAACAAATGCTGTCTTTTGTATCTGAATCTGTTTTCATCTTATTCTTCTGTTCTTCAAAATTTCTTTTAGATTTGTTTGTTCTTCTCTTTCTATTGTTAACACTCTATTCATAGAATCCTAAATTTTAAAATCGGAAGGGATCATTCTATTAAACACAGAAGAAGTTTCTATATCATTCTTGACATTACCTCCTGGGCTCTGTCTGCATGTGAATGGAAGCTTTCTACTGTACAAAGCAACTTATATTATCAAAGAGCTCTGGGTGTTAGAAAATTCTTATATTAAATGGAAATCTGCTTTCATATAAGTTAAATTCATTGGTCCTAGTTGTACTTTCTGTAGTTACAAAAAAAATTTGACAAAAATCACCATACTTCCATTCTTCTAATTTTGTGCTCCTGTTGAAATAAAGCTCTCTATTAGAATAGCAATATGTTTAGAGCAGGAAATAAAGAAATATGATACCTGAGCAAATTTAAGTGCCTTTTCATCTCCATCCACCATCTACTCATCTATCCATCTGTGTATCTGTCTATGCCCCATGTCACCCATCTGCCCAGCCAGTCATTCATCTGTCCATCTCCATCCACCCATCTGTCCATCCATCTATTCATCTATCTCTGTCTACCCATCTCCCCATTTATTCATTCATCTGTCCATCTCCATCCATTCATCTGCCCATTTATCCATTTATTGGTCCATCTTCCATATCACCCCTCTGCCCATCCAGCCATTTATCTGTCCATCTTCATCCACCAGTCTACCCATTTATCCATTCATCTGCAATACAGAGATGAATAAGGAATGGCCCGTTTAAAGCTCTTCATAGGCCGTCCTGTGAGAGGGCTGAGAGTGAAACTACAGATAGAGGAGAGAGATATGGCAGTGGCAACTCAGAGTCAAATATTTAGCATGATAAATGCCTGCCCTTCTTGCTTACATATGAAGTCTAACCAAGTGCCAAAATACTTTTTTTTTTGGAGTCAGGGTCTCACTCTTTCACCCAGGCTAGAGTGCAGTGACATGAACATGACAATCACGGCTGACAGCAGCCTTGACATCCTGGGCTCAGGTAATCCTTCCACCTCAGCATCCCGAGTAGTTGGGACTACAGGCACGTGCCACCATGCCCAGCTATTTTTTGATTTTTTGTAAAGACACGGCTTTGCTGTGTTGCCCAGGTTGGTCTTAAACTCCTGGGCTCAAGCAATATGCCCTCCTTGGCTTCCCAAAGTGCTGGGATTATAGGTGTAAGCCACCATGCCAGACCCCAAAATACTTTTGTAATCTACTAAGTGGCCACAACCACCCTGCACAGAAAACAAAAAGTTACTGCAGGCCCTTACAAAGTGAGTGAGATTGTGTCAGTTCCTGCAGAAAAAGTCAGACCCAGATCATAACTCTACTTGCTTCTCCATGAAGCAGAAATGGGGGAGAGAAACAAATAAAAGAAGCAAATGTAAGTATCTCTATTTTAAAAACAGTTCTGCTTGTGACTTAAATTTGCTGTCATGCTCCTTGCTCTAGTATATGTCCTCAGGGTCACCTTCATGTCTTAATTTTAAAAAGAGCGCAAGATAGAATTCTGCTTTGATCTGAATATGAATTTAGGTAACAGTGAGCTTGGTGATGACATTTATATATCATTTTCTATATTTCAGAGGACAGTGGGAGGATAGACCTTGCCTTTTTGATTAAAGCTGAATCTAGTTGACTAAGGAGCATTAAGATGACTAGAGGCAATATTGCTACAGAAATAATTCCTCACTTCTCTTATAAAGTCACATCAAAGTAGCAAAGATTTTTGAGTATCGCTAAAGCAATATTTTTAATATCTCTGGTAAAACTAATTTCTAACTTGGACTTCTGTGGGTTTTTTCCAGTTGAGTCAGGGCAACCATACCTCTATAGGATCTATCCTGGGGCCAAATTTACTTGGAGCCATGAAAAAATTATAAGAGGCATCTCAAAATATCATTTGTTTCAGGCAGTCTGAACTACATATCAAAATTAAGAATTAGGTCATGTCCTATAGCACAGTAGTAAACTTGTCCAAGTCAGACCCGCTCTACTACCCCTCTACCTAGGTAATGAGACAAACCCTAGGCCAATATTTCTAAACATGAGGTCTAGAAACCTCCTCCATTAGAATCTCCTGATTTTGAACCTGCAAGTTTAAAATGCAGATATTGAGGTCCCACCTCAAAACCAACTAATAAACTCCGTGGAGGTGGGCCCTCAGAACAAACGGTGAAGCGATTTTTACATCTCCTAAAACTCTCAAAGTGAAGTTACTAGAAAGTAGCATCAGCATCTCTTGGGAACTTGTTAAAAATGTAAATTTTTAGGCCCTATCTAGGACCCACTGAAGTAGAAATTCTGAGGGTGGGGGCCAGTAATCTGTGTTTTAACAAGTCCTTAAGGTGATTCTGACACATGCTAAAATGTAAGAACCAACCACTACCTCACGCACAGAGAGTAACCCAGTATAAGAACAACAGAGAAATAGTGAATTATTAAGGACTAGCGTGTGAGGAACAGGCTATAAGCCAGAGAAATTCTTTCTCCCTAACAACGGGTCCTCCAGCGCACTAAGAACAATTAGGGCTTGATATTTTTTAGAAAGAATTTATGATGCTATTCAAGAAATAGCTGAAGTCTTCGTAGTAGTAACTAATTGTTTTTTTCTCCACCACGATAGTGTCACCTGAGTAGGGGGATGTTGGCATTTGACCATAAAATATCCTTCTTTCATTCTGAGGGCCTTCGTTCCACACCTTATACAAATGCCTAAATTGGCCATTCAGTGAACTGTTGACGTCTGTTGAGGCCTGGCATCTGGGAGTTGGTATATACAGAAAGACACCTCATATAAATAGAAGGCCTCTGGGGTTAACTAAAGAAAGGAGTTTGTTTTCTAGAATATTCCAGATGACATGCATGTTAGAGTCTTTCCAAAGCTTTATATACAAAAAAATGCAAACTACAGGAAGTAAAATTATACATTGACCTTTAGGTTTGACTTTTAGCTAGCTATTGCACAATTTAAAATGTCAACCTCATTAAGTACAGGCATGAAGTACTTTATTTATTTTTGGTGATGAATTCATTTATTAGATAAATGTTTATTAGAAGCATATTATTTACTAGGCACTATGCTAGCCACATTGTTCATAGTCATGAGTGTCTGCCTTGGCATCAGAGAGTCTGCAATTAAATCTTGACTCTGCCATTTAACTGGCTGTAGAAAGTTACTTAATCCTTCTTGTGTCAGTTTCATCTTCTGAAAGAAAGGGGGACAATAATACTACCTATTCCTGGAACTGTTACAAGGATTAAATGAGTTAGTACTTTTAAAGAATTTATAATAGGATCATAGAAATAGCCAATAATTGGTAGTTATTAGTAATAATATTAATAAAATACAAATAGTAGATTTGTTAGGTCCTGTCATGGGCAACAAATATCTTTCAGAAACCCCTTATAGAATAGAGTCCGTCATTTAGTATAGACAGCAGTCTACTTTGACCTGACAAAATAACTGGAGAAGGTACATTTAACTGGTTCTTTTTTTTTGAGTCAGAGTCTCACTCTGTCACCCAGGCTGGAGTGCAATGGCACAATCATGGCCACTGCAGCCTCGACCTGCTAGGTTGAGGTGATCCTTCTGCCTCAACCTTCCAGGTAGTTGGAACCACAGGCATGCATCACCATGACCAACTATTTTTTTGATTTATTGTAGAGATGAGGCTGGTCTTGAACTCCTGGGCTTAGGCAGTCGTCTTACCTTGGCCTCCCCAAATGCTGGCATTACAGGCATGAGCCACTGAACCCAGCTTGTGACTGGTTCTTGAATCCGACTTAGGTAATAACCTTTCCAAAAACAATAAGCTAACAACATCCCTACCATTCCCCACTCCCCACAAGAAACATCTGAAACGTAAATAAACTTCTTGCTTCACACTTTGTCAGACTTTCTGTCTTCCTTCAGGGCCAGAGAAACTGGAATCTAGACTCAGAATCAATGCATCACTACCATCCCTATGTAAATGGTGGTTTTTAAGCAACTTAAAGTCTGGGGATCATACTAGGTGTCTTGAGGCAGGATCCTGAACTCAAGCCAGGGCAGGGTGTTTAGAAACAACTCAGGCATAAGAGAGACTTACTGTGATAATAAGGAGGTCTGAAGGTCTTATCAGCAACCCCCCAGCGAGGTGGGAAGATGACAAAATCAGCTATGGCCACTCCAGGGCGGACAGACTTGGCAGTCAATACCGTGAAAATGGATGGGTCCTGTGAATGCACAAGGGGAGACTGGATGCACTGTATCATCACACGCGCTTCACCCACACATCAAGGTGTTTTCAAGTGACAGTCTAATTTCTGGTCAAACAACAGAAGTCTGGGCTTTTCATCAAGGTGCAGTAATTACTCATCTGACTTTCCCCTCTTGCTGTGCTTGAAGTAAAATGAATTAACATGAACTAAGAGGATTCTGAACTGTTTTTTCACCCTGCTGAGCCCTCATTACATGCAACCTACTAACCCATGGGTATGAGAACTAATAGCGCCTGCTTCTCAATCTCAGGTCAGGGTGATTAGAGTTGGGATGTGCAGCAGAAGCGATGTTTAGGTAAGGTGGAAATAGAAATAAAACAATATCCAAGTTTTGGTGTAGATGTGTCTCTCTTTGGGGGAATCACAGAGATTCCAGATTGTATCCGTGGGCAGGAAAGTCTGAGAACTGCTTCATTGCTTTCTTACCCTTGTTTGACTCTCAGGTCTAAAATACATCATTTACATCACTACTCTTGGAATTTGTTGTGTAGAGGTGGGATAGGTTGAGGGACAAGATTATGCTTTTTAGGGAACTTTAGAATCCTTTAGTGGAAAGACTGAGATTCAATTTAATTGAAATCAACAATCATGTTCACTTTTGGGTGGCATGCCAGAGTCTGGGGATTCAAAGATGATTGGCATTTTTCACCTGTGCCTTTAGCACTAATTGGGAGGTGGGTGTGCAGCAGCTGTTTCTACTTGAAAGGATCAGGAAAGGATTCAGAGAAGGTGATATTTGAAGAAGCTCTTAAAGAAAGAAAAGGAGAAAGAGAGAAAGCAAGAAAGAAAAAGAAAGGAAGAAAGAAAGAAATAGAAAGGAAAGAAGGAAGGAGAAAAAGAGAAATTGGGGGAGACAGAAAGAAAGGGAGGAAGGGAAGAAGAAAGGAGAGAAAGAAGGCGGGAAGGAAGGGAGGGAGGGAAAAGGCATTTTAATCATAGAAAACAGAAAAGACATCAAAGTAGAGAGATTTTTGCCAAGAGGAGAGAAGGCTAAAATCCACAGTGCATTGACAGAAGGGAGAGGGGCAAGAGGTGTCACTGGAAAATGAGTCTAGGGACAGATGGTGAAGAGCATTAAACACCACGCTTCAGAGCTCTGACTTAATCCTAAACCATGGGATGCCTGCAAAGGTTTTTGAATGCAGTGGTGGAACGATCAGATCTGAATTCTGGAAAAATAACTATAACAACAGTCCAGAGAAGATTGCACCTGTGTAAATTCGAATAAAAATAAACCCAATCCCTATTGCTGTGAGAGTTAACATTTCTTCATCTGTCATGGGAAATGGTCTGAAACTATTAAAGAAAAGGTAGTGAGGCACAAATAAAGCTTTATCGGTGTCTCGGGGTCCTTTCCATGCTGTTTTGGGCTTGATGTCTCACTTTCTTTTTCCTCTTTGGTTTTATTAAGAGTTGCTGCTGTTCAGAGAGGTAATTTTGTCCCCCCAGAGATAAACTGAACTGGCTTAGAGTAATCCTTCTACCTCTGAGTCTCTGACTTTTGTTCTAATTATCCCTTCAGCTTGTGGGTTAAGTTAATCTCTTATGAATTAAACTGAAAAATGAACTTTCCCCCAGGATCTCAGAACTAGCACATTATTAAGAATGTGGGGTCTTGGAGGCCTGCACTGTAGACTGGGGACCTATTCATGACCCCTAACTGAGTAAAAAATATGACTAAGTTCGCATTCTAGAATTTCTCTGATTTAAATTCAAGCACTGAGCATTATGAGTAATTTGGAGGAGGGCTGTCTGCTTCATCAGGAGTAGGGGCACTGGTAAGGAGTGGGGCCGCTGGGATGGGCAGCCAAAGCATGTAGGGCCGACCATTGAGAGTTGTAAAGACAGAGACTTCTCCAAAACTACAAACGTTCTTTCCTCCTCACTCTGTCACTAACATTACCAGTTGGTTGTTTTTGGGGGATAAATTTTCTCCAAAGAAACTAAGTTTTTGCCTGTCTATGAGAGTTATTATGAATACTCCTTAGAAAACAAAACAATGTTCATGGGTGAATAGTGAATATCTGGCTTGGCTCCCCCACTAGCTAGGTTATTTACTACTTTGTGTAACAACTAGATCTAGGGCTTTCAAGGGGGCCATTGGAAATGTTAGATCTGTGACTGTCATTGCTCTACTGTGGACCCCTCTCACCCAAGGATTTCTCTATACCCAGGCCCTACATGATCCAGACTTACTGCATGGTCAAAGGCCACTGAGTTGATGACCATGAAGTTCTCCAGGTTGTATTTATAGGGTGTATAGTTCCCGTGCCAGGCCACAACATTGAATGGAGAGACATCCTAATCACAAAAAGCAGAACAAGATGATCTTAGCACCTCATGCTTTTGTAGCAGTGATCTCACAATATTTACGGGGCATAACTCTCTCTCTTTTAATTTGATTTTACCCTCAATTTAATTATACCATCCACTGGGAGAAGTATAACCTTTAATCATTTTGTGGTTGCTTCACACACCCTCTACTTGATCACTAACCCTATTTTTCCAGTTTATAAGCTGCAGCTGCCTTCCTATCACATGTGCAGCAGAAGCACAGCACATTTTCCAAGTAGTGCCTTTTCAACAAAAAATAACTTAACTGTAGGAAACTGTGGATATCAGCAATTCTCAAACAATCTGGGCTACCTTCTGTTTCTGGTGCAGAGGGCACCTGCTATGATGGTTCTCTAGGTAATTGCAGCTTAGAGGAGCTTTCAGTAGACATAGTGCTTGGGTTGGTGAGTTCAGGAGAGGTGACAAGACCCCTAAGACAGGATCCTCTAAAGGTTTTAAGGAAGGTACTACTCATGAAAGTGAGGTTAGGATAAGTGGAATGACTAGAGATGTTGAGGTACCTGAGTCTAGCAATAGTGAAAGACATTTCCATTCCTAAGCATGTGGAGTTAGGGAGGGAAATACCATCACAGGGCTCTAGCAAGAACTAGAACCACGAAGAAGATGGCTTCCCAGTGGTATGCTGGTAAATAATTAACAACTAATTCTTTTAGAAAAAAAAAAAAAAAAAGCCTTGACATACAGTGTTAACTGATTTCTAGGATGTAAATACTTTCACCATGATCATTTTCAAGCTATCAATGAGATGTCACTGAACAGAGCTGGACAGAGGTGTGCATATCAGCTCTTGCAAGTCAGTATGAATTGACTCCAGCATCCCATCAGGCCTACCCAACAGAAGCTGAGGTCATGCGGGATGCAGCTACTGCCTGAAACACAGTCCTAAACAGGGAGGAAGCAGGGGAAGAAATACTCTAACTTGTCTTTCCTCCTGCCCTCTAATTTCCTGTGGGTTGAACCCAATGAGAAGCCAACTGGCTAGGTAGACCAGATGACACAGTCCATATAGGTTAACCTCCCAGAACACAGATCATAGCAAAGAGAGAATGTATCAGTGGGGGCTCACACAGAGAATAACTAGCACAAGTTCCACTTGGAAAGTGGAAACCTTTCTGGAGGAGCTTCTGGCTGCTTCTAGAATGGCAGTTCTCTATCAACTGTATAAAAAAAAAAAAAGTCTGGGGAACATACTTAACATGAATGTACGTTTCCATGCCCTCTCTCCAGAGGTTATCATTTTTGTCAGGCTGGAGTAAGATCTAGGCGTCTGCATTTAAACCAACCTCCCTGAGGGTTCTGATGCAAATAGTACCTGAATTTTGAGAGAATCTGACCCAGAGAATATGATAATAACTATGTGTCTGCCTCAGGGATTAAATTCAAGTGTCAAATTGGTTGACCTCTACTGTTTAGCGTTAACTGTAGATGCTGTCCAAGGAGAATAACATGCATTTAAAAATACAAAGAATAAGTTGAATAGACAAAACAAAGCAAAAAATAGTGCTAAACAAAAGAGATCTTTGGGTCTTTTTATTATTGATTATTTTATTCTAATATATTATATAGTACTATATTATAGATTACATATTATGCTATTATTGTTTTTGTTTTTATGGCTTTGCTTAGGTTCTAAATTTATGAGGCATAAACCAAGAGAAGCTAATGACCTGATTTCTATTTTTGTGTGTGTCAATCACTGCTTGTATTTAAAAATATGGTGGTATTAAAGAATACAAATTTTGGCTGATCTGTTTGTTAGCTCATTTTCCATTTCAGAACATGTTATGCTGCCTGTGTATTATATTTTCCACACCATTTATTGAGACGTACACATTGCTAGGATTTTCATTGCTTGGTGAATGGTAAGAGCACAGTCCTTGGAGTCAGACAGATATGGGTTTAAATGCTGGTTCTGTGACATTGGTAAATTTTTTATCATCAGTGGCCCGTTCTGATGACTACACATAAGGAAAATTACACCTTTATTTGTGATATTTTAGTGGTGGGGTAATAGTATTGAACTCCTATCAGTAGGTGTTCAATAACTGATCATTCCCTCCCCTTCCTACCAACGCTCTTACTTTACCTGTTTAGAAGCAAACAGCTTGCCCTGGTATTTATTAATCACAGTGTAACCACCTGGGACTTGGCGATCTTCATACCAGGCAACAGGTATTAAGAAATCACGAGGATTGGCCAAGCCGTTGGCTCCTAGAACACAGTCAACCAAAATTCTTTTAGCCACTTCCAAAATGACACAGGAAAGATGACCCAGGCTGGACAAAGAGAAAGACTCTCTTTCATGTCAATAGCCTCTCCACAGATTGCTTTTGCTGCTTCAAGATTCACTGTATTCCTACTCTGGTACCTTTTTAGGAGGACCCAAGGAATTTGGTTAGGAAAAAATTCACAAAAATCAACCATTATCATCCCCAGTGTTACCTCCTAAGGTTGTGGACTGACTATGGTTCCCAAACCATTTATATGTATTACTGAGGAGGAGGAAAGAGAGAAAGAGACCAGATAAGGGGAAAAGGGAAGACCTGACAGAATACCAGAACTATTTCTTTTCAAGGAAACCCAAGAACTCATCTATAGTCCTTGATCTCAGATAGGAAGTGTTACACACTATTGCCCCAGGCATGCCTCTGCTCCTTAGACAGAACTTAGAATCCAAGTCTGTAAAACTGCTCTCTAGCCTGAAAAATGTCTGCCACTCAGAGAGAAGTATTCAGGACTTGCCTGCTTACCTTTGTTTAGGAACGAGAGTTTCCTCCAGAGAAAGAAAATAAATCATAAGACCAAATATGAAAAGCATAAGCGCAAAAACATAATTTAACTCTGAGAGGAGAAACCTTGGGAGTGTTTTATCATTTCCAGCTCCTGGAGTTAAAAAATAATAAGCCCCCGGCTGGTTAGTAAATTATATATACTTTCCAGAGAGTACATGTTCCGTGGAACCTGGAGGCTCTGCTGACTGTAGAGCAGCAGGAAGCCAGAGCAGAGTGGGAAGAGTGGGTGGTGAGCAGGATGACAGACGGCCCACCATGGCTCCAGCTTTCTTTCTGCTGCCTCCCACCTTCCTCTGCATATTTGGATCCCTCAGGGGAGTGACCAGAAGGCACATGCTGGCCTGTCCCTGTTTCGCTCTAAAAAACTGGGGACAAGGAAGGGAAGAACTGGAGGTGTGACCAAAGATAAAACCAAGGGCTAAGTTTCCCAGCCACTCCTTTCACTCCAAGAGATGTTTTGAGAACAGCCCCTCTGAACACGTTCATTTCTCTCCTGCATCTCCTGCCTCCAGCTGGCCAGAAGCATAGGGACGGGAGGGCAGGCGGGGGGGACCTTGGTTCACTTTCAAGTGTTTTAATCTGCCTAATGGGGCTGTGGTTTCTACCTCCGTCATAGCCCTGAGTGTTGTGCTATTTTTAACTGTTAAATGTGTGGATTTTGTGGTGCGGGCTCAGAGGTTCTCAGTCGGGCCCTCCTTTCCATAGGACTTTTCTCACTTTGACTAAAGAAAAGGATCTCCATCCTATGCACAAAGCTCATTCCCACTGGTATGCTTTTGCAAAGTTGTTCCCTTTCCTCTTTACTTCTCCACTTTTCATCAGGAATTAGTCACATCCCATCTCTTCTGTGAAGCTGTTTCAGGTGACTCTGGTCCATAGTAACCCAAAACTTCCACACCCTTTGCAGTATACACTGTGTAACCAGAACTCTATTACAAACTGTTTTTATCTCCAGTGTCTACATACTATTCTAGAGAGATTTGTAATGGGTTGGTTTGCGTTGCCTTCTGTTATGTGTGTATTTTATGAGAAGACACTTAGTTTAGAGAAGTTGTCTAGAGAGAAAAGTTGAAGTTTGAGTGAGATAGTGAGGGGAGAAGGATGTTTAACTTTCACACAATTATCTGTGTCCTGTATCTCAAGCGAGGTTTAGAGGTGCATAGTAAAGATTTACCAATGGGTCCAAGGTCAGGTAACTCAAAGTGGACTCCGTAGACCTCCAAGACATAGCCTCTGGTCTCCTCAAAGACATCTATGCTGAACCGCATTCCTCTCTGGAATGGAAAGCAGACACTGGTGTGCCCTAAAATCACAGTTATACTTATAAAGAAGCTTCCCTAGAGCCATAGCCAGGCTCACATGCAAAAGTAAAGCTTGGTTTGCTGAGTTGTGTTTGAGAGATGAACAGATCAAAGATGAGTTAGAAAGAAAAACTTAATTCATAATCCCATCTGTGAACCAAGCCAATTCTAATCTAACTTCTCATTAGGACCAGAGAAAATAGTAGGCCTGATTTAGTCACATTTTAAAAAATCCACTATTACTTCCTCCACCACCATCAGTGGGAACCGGGCCTTAATCCAGAGTGTGTATAAATATTTAAGAAAGTGAAATGACATGCTCTTTGCTTTGGGATGGTGTGCTATATTAAAACAAAACAGGCACCCCAGTCTGCGTCCCTTCAGCACATAGAAACTTAAGCATAACTCAGACTCTCTCCTCATTGCCCAGACATGACACAGACATTTTAGAGTTGGAAATAGCAGCAGCTGAAACATCTGACTACTCCCAAATTAGTGAGAGGCAGGGAGGAGAAGGGGACACATCACCAACCTGAATGACGCAGATCTCATTGGGCTGTACAAGCATCTTGCCAAATTCGGTGTAAATGAGAAGATTCCCTTTCTGGGGAACTGACAAAAAAAGACAGGGCAGTGGTGAGCAACTCTCTTCATGTGAGAACTATTTCACGAAGAGTAAAGACTTAAGGGCTGCATTTGCTTTTTTATTTCAAATGAAAAGAACCTTATTGAGTCTCTTGGGGGAAAAGGTATGATCTGACAATTTAGATTAGCTCTTTTACTATCTAGAAGAATGTGAATTTTTAAAAAATGGTTGTCTTTTTTTGGTCACTAGGTAAGGAGTTTGTAGATGCACAATTTTGTGAATTGATCAAAAAGGGCAACAGAAATAGGATGGAAAGTCACTCATCTCTGAGAGTTCCAGTAAAATGTTGGCATTTGCTTGTCTAACATCTACACCAAAATGCTGACTCCAAAATATCGGTGCTAAGCCACTAAATAGAGAGGACAGACCTGAGCAAACTCTGATAGACATTCCATTTTAGATGGTCTCCTACAAATTTGAGTTTAAATTGCAGTTATCAGTGACAGATGGACTTTTAGTGAGTGAATCTGAAGAAAAATACAGTTAATAAGGCAATCGCATGTTGGTATTAATCTTTATTTCTTTTCAGTTTCCCAGATCTTTCATATCAGAAAGGCCCAGAAAGATGGACAAAGACAGAGAGATCAAGAAATAAAATAGGGGGTTTGAGGCACACTAGGAATCTTTTCCAGGCCACCCGTGGCCACTAGACCTCAGTCTGTAGATTACACTAAATGAAATAAGATGAGAGGATAAAGAAAAATAATGTGTATAAAATTAGAAAGCAGCTTATGGCTAGGGATCAATTAACAGTGAGAAGGTATGAAGTCTTCATAACTTACCAAACAGGAAGTCCCCATCTGAATTGTAAAAGCATCTGAAACATATAGAATAACTTCTGTGGTTTTCAGTTTTGACATTGTCTAGATAAATTAATTCACTGTCTAGATAAATTATTGTTTAGTGCCTACTACATAATAGGCTCAGAACTGGGTACAAGATGGTGAGCAAAATAGCCTAGTCTCTTCCTCGTGGAACTTAGAGTCTAGTAGGGAATCAGATATCGATCAAATAATTATAGAACTATAGCATAGTTACAGCAAACTGTAATACATGAAAATCAAGTTCAAGGGAATGAATGAACAGGGGCTGGATCTAGTTGGTGAAGTCAGGCTTCTTCAAAGAAAGGACGCATTTGACATAAGAGCTGAAGGCGTTATCTAGTTGAAGGTTTGAGGAGGGGCACAAACATTCCAGGCAGAAGAAACAGCATGTGCAAATGCCCTGAGGCAGGAAGGCACATGTCAGGTTGAAAGAAGCAAATGAAGGTCAGTGTGGCACAAGTGGAGAAAGTGGAGGTGGTCTGATATGAGGTTGGACTGAAAGGGAGGTCTTCAGTGACTTGCCATAGGACTGTGATCTTGGATCTGATTCATGGCTTAGAGCAGTTAAACAGCTTGCACAAGTTGGCTCAGCCAGGAAATATGGAGCGGGGCTTCAGACACAAATGATTTGGCTCCAGAGGTAGCGTACAAAATCACCATGATATTCTGCTTCCCAAAGAAAATGCAGGAATTTCATTGACATATTATACATTTTTTTTAAAGCCAGTATATAAGGTTCTCTACTTAGGAACTTAAACTTTTACAAAACTATTAGCTGAAGCCGAAGTCTGTTAGCTTGATTTGGCACTAACAGGTGGTCCTAATGGCTGCTCTTTAGTATGACTTTGAACTCAAGAACAGCCCTGGAATACCTTAGAAATTAAGGATATTCTGAACCAAACTTGTTTAAAGTCAAAATGCCTCTTGAACTACTCCTGAATTCCAGGGCCCCATCCTCCCTTTTGTTTGCATCATCATTTATGTTACAGGAGTCAGTCAGAATAGAAATGGTCATTTATTATCATTTTCAGTAAATATACATCAACATTGATCTGAAGGAAAAAACAATAACAAAAACAACAATGTGTGTGCATCTATGACTTCACAAGAGTGAGACCTGGCCTCCGACCCTGGCCAGTAGCCCTTGGAGGATGGGCGTGTCCTGTCCCAGCATGAGTCACTTACTTGTTCCCCATGGAAGTGTTGCAGAGGAAAATATGGACAGCAAGCCCATTGTTAGACCTGATGTCTCCAGCTCCACACAAAGTATGCAGCCCCTGGGAGAGTCACATAGCAGAGGGAAAAATAACTGAATTGTGCGCAAGAGGCGGCCCTCCCTCTGGTCCCTGAGGGTCATGAGGCAAGGTTCTTCTAGTGTCTTCCCTTTGGGACCAGTGGGACATTTGGGATGCAGGCTACCTTTGTTGAGCCTGGAATTTACTGACTTGTGTTTGGTAGTTTAGGGCTTATCCTAGTTGCCAGCCATGGCCTAAATCTGGATTATCTTAGTGGCTATGTCAGAAGACCTTACAGAGCATCATTTCATTACTTGGTATTTTATCAATTTGATGCTTAAGATCAACCAAAAGGAGATTCCTGTTGGGGGTACCATTAGGAATCTGGAAGGATTGAGGAGGAAGGTTGTAGCATCAGGGACAACTTAATACCCCTCAAGGATGCCCCACTGTGTAGGCAGCCCTCTGCTTATGAATATGGACAGTTTCATCTCTCCAGAACAGGGCAGAGGAATACATTGTGATTGACTATAGTTCTCTCTGCTGTGTGACCAGATGCTCCACGGGCCTTCTCAAAACAGCCCTCAGTCCCCAAACTGAAGATGGGGAGCCCAAAAAGAGAGAGCTCTGCTCCTCCAGAAATCCACAATGCACACAAGGTGGAACACATCTTTTTGTATTTGAACTCAGTTTGGAAGTTTGGAGTCTACTTAAGTGAGTCTACACAGTGCTTGAAGCACTTATCAAGGATAAGAAATTCAAGATGATTCCAAAATTTGGCCTATGGCTGGGCTCCTAGACTGTCCCTAACTAAGCTATGAGCTGAGGCTTGTCTGCCAGTACCGTTAACTACAAGAGATTCCAAACAGCATTAACTAGAATTGCCTCCCTGAATTGATGCCATTCTAGCCATGGCAGTACCAATAACTACAAGAGATTCCAAACAGCATTGTACTAACTAGAATTGCCTCCCTGAACTGATGCCATTCTAGCCCTGGCATCCATTTCTGGGGGGCCATGAATTTGGATGAAAAATATTTTATATTCATATTCACTACTATCTGAGTGAAATTTATCATTTCCGTCAGTTATCATGAATAGAGGCAACAAACCATAGCCGTATTAGAAGTGCTTGCAACCTTGTCAAAGATAGAAATCATGAAGTTATATTTTTATAACATTATCATTGTTATAAATATCTCAAAATATATACATGCTTATACCATAGTTATTAGATGTTTCCATAGAAATTATGATTTAGTACATTAACAAGGAAGCATATATGACTATAAACCAAGTCAAATTTGTTTTGAAAAATATTTTTGTCACTATATTTCAATGTAATTAGTTTCTTTGTAATTTTATGTAATTTATTTTATACATTTAAAAACAAAGGCATCACCAGACTATCAAAGGGGTCCTTGGAGCAAAAAGGTTAAGTGTTCTAGCCAAAAGAAAGTTTGAATAGGAAAAATGCCTAATTTCCATTGGCCTTTCTGAGATGAAAATAGCTCATGAATGCCTAATTTCCACTGGCCTTTCTGAGATGAAAATAGCTCATGTCAGGGGCCATGTGGTACATGTAAGTATGACATCCCTTGACCAGCCCCCAAAACACCATACACAGGTGGCTTTGTCTCTGCTGACTCCTGATAGGGTTGCTTCTGCCTGGCATTCAGCCTGTAAATGGCTGGATCACTCACCCAGAAAGGAAGGAGAGCCATGGGAAGGGTGTGGGACAGTATTGACTTACGCTCACGAAGTCCACTTTCTTTTGAGATACTTTTGGAATCTCAAATGGTTTCCATCTAAGCTGGAAAAAATACACATACAGAAAAATTACTCCATGAGGGGAAACCATAGCCCCTCTAAATAAATAGCATCAATTACATAGAAGAAGAAGGACCTCCCTCTGTGAGGCTCTGACTATTTGTGATTTTGTTACTTTTAAATTAATGATTATCCATCATTTCCTTAAAGGGGCTCTGTTGGTGTGTATGTATGTGTGCTGAAAACTATATGAATATAAATTGCCTTTTATTCCTTAGTACTTTAAGTTATAAAACTACAAAAAATCATTACTTCCTCTTGAGAAGCTATTTGTTTCTTTTAACATTTTGCTCAGGCACATCAGTGAGTTTTGACTGATGCCGCTTTTCATGCTATTTATAATCAGCTCCCTTTCCTGGCATGCCAGCCTCTCTGTGTGGGCTCCTGACACTGCAGGGGAAGGTTCTACTTCTACTTCCAGCCCTTGGAATTTTAAATTATTTCTTTAAGAAAAATAAAAAGCACCCAGCTGAGAGTGGATTTGGTAAATGCAATACCGGGTTTAGTTTCTTCACCAAACCCCACGTTTGTTCCCCAGGCTGCCTGACGGTTCCGTTTAAATCACAACAATCTTTAATTTAATAATGAAATGATCTAAGGAAGTGGGGAGAAAAATCAGCAGGTTCAGGCCCTACTTGAAGTGTCAGTCCAGCACTTATTAATCAACTTGGCAGCAGGCCTGACTCAGCCAGGCTGGCAGCTGATAAACCCAGCTGCTACATCTCATGGAGTGACCTGCACCCCAAGGACTGACTCCACTGCCTGCAGCACCTGATCAAGGAGGGCCAGGAAGGGCCTCAGTCAGGTCATGGGACTCAGATCATTCCGTATTTCAGGAAAGCAGCCAGTTAGAAGAGGGAGCAGCAAGTGGAAAAGGCGGCACTGAGTTATTCTGCCTCTTAGGCAACAGCCTTAATTTCTTTTCTTTTCTTTTTTTTTTTGAGTTGGAGTCTTTGCTACCCAGGCTGGAGTGCAATGGCATGCTCACAACCACCACAGCCTTGAACTGCTGGGCTCAGGTGATCCTTCCACCTCAGCCTTCCAAGTAGGTGGAACTATAGGCATGCGCCACCATGCCTGGATAAATTTTTGATTTATTGTATAGATGAGGTCTCATCAAGTTGCCCGGGCTGGTCTCAAACCCCTGGGCTCAGGCAATCCTCTTGCCTCTGCCTCCAAAGTGCCAGGATTGGGTGTGAGCCACAGCTGCCAACTATTTCTTTAAAGCAAAGCAAGATGATCACATTCTGAGTCTACTTAAATAGGATGTAAAATGTTGTTTTGGAGCCGGGCTCCGTGGCTCAGCCTGTAATCCGCGCCTTTGGGAGGCTAAGGTGAGTGGATTGCCTGAGCCCGCAGGTTCGAGACCCACCTGGGCGGCGAGACCTCATCTCTACAATAAATCAAAAAATCAGCCGGGCGTGGTAGCGCATACCTGTAATTCCGGCTACTCGGAAGGCTGAGGTGGAAGGATTGCCGGAGCCCAGTAGGCGAGGCTGCGGTGGTCAGGAGCGGCCACTGCACTCCAGTCTGGGTGACTGAGTGAGACTCCAACTCAAAAAAAAAAAAAAATGTTGATTTGGAAAACTGTGTTGAAATCATGCTTCAGAAAGAAGGGAACACTTTAGGACTAATTTTATTAAGAACAATATCTCCTGGCATAGAAGTGGGGACTTGAGAGTAAGTATCTAGAAAAGGTTTGCTCAACTCTGTCACTATTGACATTTTGCACCAAACAATTCTCTGTTGTGGAGACCTGTCCTATACATTGTAGGATATTTTACATCATTCCTAGCCTCCAGCTACTAGCAGTCAATAGCACTACCCCAAATTGTAACAACTAAAAATGTCTTCAGACATTGCCAAATGTTACTTGGGGGAAAATGTCCTCCAGTTGAGAACCTAGGAGGATAATCCCCTGATATTAGGAAAGGTCATAGCTAAGCACTGCTGGATTTTTGAGTGGAGGTTCTGGTATACTACTAACCATTACCTGCTGCTTCCCTCTATAGGAGCAGATCAGAGTTTGTATACCCAGGAAGATTGTCTGGAAGATAATACTACCTAGAATCTTAGTTTCAGAAAGAGTTGTCATTCTGGATTTCCCAATGGAAGGGATTTAAATATCAGATCAGTGGTTGCCCGGGCAACCTTTGGGCTCTGTCTGAGATTTTCAACCTTGGCTACCCATGAGAATCACATGGAAAGTCTGTAAGACCAAGACCAAATGAAATCAGAATCTGTGATGGTGGAGCCCAGCCATCAGTATTTTTAAAAGATCTTGTAATGTGCAGCTAGGGTTTAAGAATCAGCACATCCAACCTGGAGAGTCTGTGATTCTTGTATTGCCGAACTAAGAATCGTACTCAGAAAAGCCCACTCAGTCAACCAACCAACTAAATTGTGGCATCTTGGGCCAGATGTGGCAGTGGCAATGCCGGTTACCAAAACACACGGATGATCAATGAATACAAGTTTAAGGATTTATAAACCTAAGGAAAAAAAGAGAGCAAGAAATGATTTGTTGCTGGGAGAACAATATCTCTACATCTACCTGCAATTAATATAGTTGTTGTGGGTAGATATAAGGTCCTGACGCCAGAGAAGAGGTTTGTCTTCTGTGAGTGGGAAAGACTGAGCCAGAGAAGCTGATGGGTTGGCCACGTCTGTTAGTCATTTTTCATGTTCTTATGCAGCACATCAGCCCTCAGGTTATGAGAAGAGGGAGCCTGGTGTGGTGGATGAAAAGGCAACCACATGATGATGAGGGAGCACACTAGCACCCACATCCCGATGAAGCAATGGTCTTGGATGAACCTTCTCTAGTGCAAAAAAATGATTCCTATCAAATGACAGAGATAGTTTAGGGATAGGAGCCATTTGTTGTCGGGCCTGATGGCAGAAGATTATATGGAGTCTATATTTAGATTGTATAGGGTCTAGATCATGAAGGATAATAAAAACTCTAAGATGGTTCTGATAAGCCCAGTACAAGAGATTTCAGTCAGGAGCTCAGATATTAGGTGATTGTGATATTTAGGTAAATGTGAGGAGGGGAATTTGAGGAAAGGATAAACATAGAGTGAAAGATAGAAACGTTGCCTACTAAAGCCAGATACTCAGCTTAATTATATACTATTTAGAAGTAACTGTCTTATCCAAGGCCGGACCAAAAGGGAAGTGCATTGGACTGAGCCTGGAGGCTTGGTTTCTGCTAGTGACTCTGTTCCCATTTACTCTGTGACCCCAGATAAGCAATTTTCTTTTTCTGGATTGTATTATTTCTTACGTGTAACAACAAGGTGTTGATAAGAACTATAATTCCATAATTCTTTTCAGAAAAGAGCTTCTGAAAGAAGTAAAGGGTGCTTGGTAAGTGATTTAGTCCTTGCTATGGACTAAATTGTGTCCTCCCCAAATTAGTATGTTGAAACCCTAGCCTCCAGTGGGATTGTTTTGGGGAATAGCAGGTGATTAAGGCTAAATGAGGTCATAAATGTGGGTCCCTAATCCAATAGGATTGGTGGCTTTATGAAAAGAGGAAGAGATCTCTCTTTTTCTCTTTCTACATGCACTCAGAGGAGAGGCCATGTGAGGACACAGTGAGAAGGTGGTTGTCTATGAGTCAAAGATGAGCCCTCACCAGACATCAAGCCTGCTGACACACTTATGATTGGGACTTCCAGTCTCCAGAATTGTCAAAAAATACATTTCTGTTGTTTAAGGCACCCAGCCTGTGGTATTTTGTTATGGCAGCCCGACCAGACTAATATAGTCCTATAAACTTTTTAACAGTTTATTTATACTATATATTATTGCCAGTTAGCTCCTTTTATACAGAATTTACTTATTGCCAGCTAGCTCCTTTTATACAGAATTTACTTACTAGACATTTCAAAACCAGTGAAAGTAATTGTAAAGCCCAATGCATTACAATCTTGACTATAGTAAGCATTAATAAATATTTGTTGAATGATTGGATGAATAGATACAAGGTACCAAGAACACTGCTAATATTTCAAAGAACAAGGTCAGAGCAAGTTTGTGAGATTAAAAAAAAAAAAAAAAATCTAAACAACATTCAGGCAATAGCTAGAACATTGAAAAATGTTTTCAAAAGTCCAAAGATTATTTACAAAATGTGAGTTAGTTCTTCATACATGTGCAAAATAATCACAAAATAATCTTTTTCTGATTTTCTTTTCAGTTGTTCCATCAACTGTTGAGAGAGGGATGTGTAAGTCTGCAACTGTGATTGTGAATTTGTCTGTTTATCCCTTCAGTTCTATCATTGTCTGACATACTTTATAGCTGTATTCTGTAAATTCTTTTGGAAAATAAATGTTTACTTGCTAGAAATGAGGTAGTTGAAAATAATTTGACTTTCAGCCAGAACCGCCATTTTCCAGTAATTCGCCAAAATGACGAACACAAAGGGAAAGAGGAGGGGCACGCGGTACATGTTCTCCAGGCCATTCAGAAAACATGGAGTTGTTCCTTTGGCCACATACATGCGAATCTACAAAAAAGGTGATATTGTAGACATCAAGGGAATGGGTACTGTTCAGAAAGGAATGCCCCACAAATGTTACCATGGCAAGACGGGAAGAGTCTACAATGTCACCCAGCATGCTGTTGGCATTGTTATTAACAAACAAGTTAAGGGCAAGATTCTTGCCAAGAGAATTAATGTGCATATTGAACATATTAAGCATTCGAAGAGTTGAGATAGCTTCCTGAAACGCATGTAGGAAAATGACCAGAAAAAGAAGGAAGCCAAGGAGAAAGGCACGTGGGTTCAGCTGAAGTGCCAGCCTGCTCCACCCAGAGAAGTACACTTTGTGAGAACCAATGGAAAGGAGCCCAAGCTTCTGGAACCTATTCCCTATGAATTCATGGGTTAATAGGTGTCAAAAATAAAAGATCTTTGGATCATTAAAAAAAAAAAAGAAAATAATTTGAAAAGTATCTTTAATGATATGC